AAAAACTACAAATCAAGGCTTCATTTCTGCCTCCAAATAACTGTTTTATTAGTATGCATATGACTCTAACCCCTCACGTTATAGAACCAGATTCAGAAATGGGAAGGATTGTGCAAGATCACTAAGCTAGTTGCAACTAGTTAATGTGGCCTCTTGACTCCTAGTTCAGTGCATTTTCTGTCTGCCATATAGATATGCCAACTAGAAATCTCACCTGACCCATGTATGGTAGACAGGAATATTATCATAGAAGCCCCAGTGTCTTGGGAGGTGCATCTTGGGAAAGGCAGACCTTGCAGCCACGTTGCACTTTTCCAGACTCCTAATGGTGCTCCATTGGGAAAATGGCAGGTCATGAAACTCATGGCTTCCTCTCTTTCAGGTAACCACACAAGAAACCGCCATGGAGAGTAACCCAGTAGATGGGGCCTACATAAAAGGACTCTTCTTAGAAGGAGCTCGTTGGGACAGGAAGATGATGCAGATTGAGGAATCTCTCCCTAAAATCCTCTATGACCCATTGCCCATCATTTGGCTGAAACCTGGGGAAAGTGCAATGTTCCTGCATCAGAATATTTATGTTTGTCCAGTCTATAAAACCAGTGCCCGGAGAGGCATCCTCTCCACCACAGGCCACTCTACCAACTATGTCCTGTCCATTGAACTTCCCACTGACAGACCCCAGAAGCACTGGATAAACCGAGGGGTAGCCTCGTTATGCCAGCTGGATAACTGATGGCATTTCTCTCAACACAGAAAATAAAAGTCATTTCATTCTAAATTACTGTCTAACTTTCCTTTCTTGAGAGTAACATGGTATGATGATGATAGTGATGATGATGAGGTATTGATAGCGTACTTGCTGTGAGCAAAGTATTTCAGAGCAGTCCTATAAAATAGGTTTTTTAAATCCTTCCCCAAGAACATTTTTTCTCCCACTGCCTTTAGAGAGGAAGAGAAACATTGATGTGAGAGAGAAATATCAATCTGTTGCCTCCCATATGCACTTGGACCAGAGATCGTACACACCCAAACTGGGGATCAAACCCATAAACCTACATATGTGCTCTGACCAGGTATCGAACTCACAAACTTTGAGCTAAGGGACAACGCTCCAACCAAGCCACATCACCAGGGCTAGGTGGTTGTTATCCTCAATTTTATGGCTACAGAAACCATGATATAGAGGAGGTACAGTAATATCCCCCAAATCACACAGCTGCTAGAACAGGGGAGCCTGAGTTGAACACAGGCAGTGGGACTCTTCAAATCAGACCTTTAACCATATGGCTAAGCTCCCTGTGGTTACTTTTCCTGTATTGTTTTGCTATAACTGTCACCATGTTTTAACTGCTTCTTAGTCTACTCACATGGGCTAACATCAGGGCCTATCAGAAGTTGAAAGAGGCTGAACCTCTTTGGTTTTTAAGGCTCCCAATAAGATTTAAAAAGCACTCCTCATAACTATCTCATGTAGTAGATATTACCATCTGCATTTTAGAGATGCAGAAATGGAGGCTTAGAAAAGTAAGCAGTCCAAATTTCCCCAGCTGTTGGTGGTAGCACTGGGACCCAAATGCTTCTCTACTAACCTACACAGATGGGCTGAAACTTTAGGAAGAAAGATGTGAGAGAACCAGTATCTGCCGCATGGCTACAGTGTGCCATGGGTTGTGTCCAGGCCTTCAGATATCTTGCTTGTGTTTATGTTGGGTATGACTGTCTCTCCCTCTGGAGGTTCAGGGAGATTAAGCAACTTGCCTGAAATCAACCAGCAATTTCAACACTGCAGAGCCAGGTTTGGAGCTGACATCTGTGTGGCTGTTGAACCCAGTGCATTTTTCACAGTTACATGCTGCCTCCCTGCTGAGGACTTGGCAATGTTGTGATGTAGAATGTTAAGAGATTAGCTTCAAACATGTCTGAGAAATTTTTAGTTTATCACAGTTTCTTCTAAGGGCCACTGGAAGAGAATCCCAAGGAAAATAAAAATAAAAAATTATAAATCCTCACCTGAGAATATGTTTATTGATTTTAGAAAGGGGTGGGAAAGAAAAGTCAATCAGTTGCTTCCTGTATGCACCCCTTACCTGGGGATCAAACCTACAACCTACTTATGTGCCGTGACTAGGAATCAGCCCCAAAACCTTTTGGTGTATGGGACAAGGCTCCAACCACTGAGTAACTAACTCTCTCGTGTAGCTCTTTGGCTCTAAGTACGTTATATATATATTTTTTTTTCAGGATGTTCCACGAAGGGTTCGTAAGTGAGCAAAGACATAAGGCTGTTTGAGAGCCTTAATGTGGCTGCCTAGCTGCTCTACTTCACTAGAAGAAATGTCCTGACTCGGGAGTCTTTGATTTCTTCTGTATGTAGGAAGCTTCTGAGAAACTAAAACATATTTTGAAACCTCATTTCTTCATGGGAGCATGGTGCCAATCAAAGTCGGACTGCAGGACTGTGAATTAGGAGATCAGCGAATCAGCTAAGTGACCCCAGAGAAAAAGTACCATTGCGGAGTTTTGATCTTATCAGGGGTAATCAAGATACAGGAGGAGCCAGTCTCCTTCTGTTCAAAGTAGAGAGGTTAATAGCTCCCCCCCAACCCGTCCCCAGAAGAAACAACTTTTTCTCACTGGGGAAAATATCAGAATGCATAGACAGCTGGAACTGCCTTATCTTTTCAAGTGAGACTGTTAGTCATGTGAGATGGAAAGATGACCCGGATCCCAAACCCCTGAATCTTGAACTGGTTTGGGTAAGTCACATTGCAAGCTGCTTGGCACTGAGGGTGTTGCTAAGACAATTGCATTTTAAATTCTAATTACAGTTATCTAAGTCCCACTTCAGCAACAACAGCTGAGGGAGGCAGGGACTGTCCATTTCATTCAACAGGGGTCAAGAGACAGAATGTTTCTGTATAAAAGATTAAATTAAAAAATTAAAATTTCCTCCACTTTGAAAAGAAAGTTTGAGGTCCAATGTGATAATTAATGTCTCTCCCTGGAAAAGAGCAATATGTTCTTCAGAAGTCCTGGTGATTTAGAGGCTGGACTCCTGCAACAGAGATGACTAGAGATCAGCTCAGTGAGAAGCTGTAAGCCCTACCTACAAATAGCTCAGCAGATGAAGTCAGAAACCTTGTCACCAATATTCCTTGCTTCTTAAAAATCTTTTTGGGTAGTTTTCAGTCCTTGTCAGTGTTGGAAGGAAACTGCATGGAGAGAAGGGATGTAGGAAGTTAGGTTCTGCCTTTAAAAGACTATATGATGGGGATCTTATAGTCTTGGGAAGAAAATGAAGGGGGGAAAAAAAGAACATGCATCTTTGCAAAGAAGGCAAGGCATATAAAATTCACAATAGGTAAGATTTCTGGCACACAGAAGAACCTCAGAAGCTAGCTAGCAATTAGATGACCTTGCACCTTGGAGAAGGCTGGGCGGGAAAGATGGTTTTTACACTCAAAATAGTAAGATAAAAATTGTACAGTTGAAATCACCTTGAGTTACTGATGGAAACAGACAAGCCATGTGTTGCTTGGTCCAGCAGAGCTAGTTTTTCTTTCAGTGCAAGAACAGATCACCATTTCATTGGCTCTACAGATGAAGTAGTTGAGTTCACAGGCCCCATACTGAATGAGAAGTACTTAAACATTAGAACTACTTTCGGGCAGAAAGATGTATCCACAAAGAGACTACATGGAAGGAAAATGACTGATGGGACAGCAGAGTTGGTTCTTCCAGTTCAAAATAGTCTGGGGTGTTTACTCACTGAATGGCCAACACATCTGCCAGTACATTCAGAGTTCTGTCTCTTCAGCAAAGGCCTATAACTGCACTAGTATTTACATATGCATATGCTTACTCCCCTGATACAGTATTATATAGTAAAAACTACATTCTGTACAGTATTATAGCAATATATGTTTTCATTGCCAAACCCTGCGATACTTACACAGAGCATAAAAAACTATGCTCCTGCTTACAGGAGCAGGCTCGATGATTGGAATATAAAGCCTATTTTTTAAAATTTATATTGATTTTTAGAGAGAAGAAGGATGGGGAGAGAGAGTGAGAGACACTGATTTGTTGTCCCACTTATTTATGCACTCATCTGTTGATTCTTGTATGTGCCCTGACTGGGGATCGAACCCACAACCTTGACATATGGGGATGATACTCCAACTGGGCTTAATATGCATTTAAGTGAGACATGTGCTTCTGTGTATGTGTATAAAGGAGGCAGAGATGGGTCTCATAAAATTACCATGAAAAATCATGAACAATCCAGTGATGCACTTAAAAAAAAAAGATTTTACTTTTTTAAAGAGTGGAGAAAGGCAGAGAAACACTGATGTGAGATAGAAACATCAATTCATTGCCTCTCATGCATGCCCTTTCTGGGGACCAAACCTGAAACCCAGGCATGTGTCCTGACATTGGGAATCCAACCAGTGACCTTTTGCTTTGCAGAGTAATGCCCAATCAACTGAGCCACACCAGTCAGGGCATCCAATGATGTACTTTTTAAGGTGGCATTTATCTGGAAATTAGAAGGGTCAAAAGATAAAAACACACATAAAAAAGCCCACTTTTAAACAAATCTATAACTTAAAAAAAATAAGGCCTAAAAATATTCTGAGGAAGGTATATTGTTTGATGGCAGTCATCAGAACTCCCTGAGAGTAGGTAACTTCAAGTCAGCTGACATGTTTGGCGATGGCATTTTCATGAGAAACCCTGTCATTCTTCAGTCTTCCTCCCACAGGCCTTAGTCTTGTTTCCAAATGATGCTTCAGGGAGGATGTAAAGTCTGTGACCTCAAGGATTAGCGTTGTCTACCCAGGCACGATGGTACATATCATGTGGTGAATACCAATATTTTGAAGGTTTTTAAGAAGATAATTTGAATTTTTGCCTTAATCAAGGAGAAAGGTTTTGTCATCTGATTTACATTCAAGACCTAGTTGGCTCACCATTCTGAGAAACTTTCTTTTGGATTAGGAAACCTCATCATGAGACTTGAGATATACTGGTTTGGAAAGTTTCCTTAGTTTTTCCAGGCTCCGAAGTCACTGGCCTTGTAGTTGGGTAAGCTCCACTGGAGGCAGATGAACCTGAGTAAGAAGAATAAGAATAATGATAATATTAGGAATTACAACCATTGCAGCTACTTATTATTTATTGAAGATTTACTAAATACCACGCTCTCTCCTAAGCACTAAATCTACACTAAGTCATTAATCTTTACAATCCTTACAATCATCTCATAAGGAATTTTATCAACATTTATAGATGAGAAAATGGAGGCTCAGAAGTTACAACTTGCTCAAGATTATACAGTAAGTGGTGGAGCTGGGATTTGAACACAGATCTGTCTGATGCCTGAATTTGTGCTCTTCACCACATAGCCTGTATGGAGGAAAAAAGGGCAACAAACCATGCAGTGTGATGAAAATGCAAAGAAGGTGAGGAAAAAAGCATGTACACAAAGATGTGTGCATAGTGGCAAACTGAGACCTACTTAAATATTTGTCTACCAAAGGGCGCTGGCTGAACGACAGCGCATCTTCACAATGGGACTCAAGGCAACCACATGAAAAGATAGGGGCAGACTTGCCAGAACATGATGTAAGACATGCAGGCAATAACAGCACACTAGGGTTCCACGTACTTAAGTGAAGAAAGTGTATGTCCATGAGTGTAGGAAAAAGACTACAAGGATAGATTGTCAAACTGTTAGGTTGAGCCAATACCATAAAAATTTACTGTTTTTGTAGGTCAAGTGTAGAAAATTGGCAATTACATATGGTCAACTCTACAGTTATAGGCATTACTTCCACAGGGTGTGAATTTGTGACAAATTTTACTTTCTAACTGATGCATTCCTTTAATGTTGGAACTTCATTCTTTTATTAAAAAAACCTGTCTTTTGTAATAAGAAAATCTTTCCATAAAAAAGTGAAAGGAAAGAGAAAGCTATGTAAATGTGAACTGGCTTTCCCTTCTATATGTAGGAAAGTTGTGCAAGTAGGAGAAATCAGGCATTCATTGACATTTTGGTTGGCTGTGATAGGTTAGTAGCATACAAGTATACCTGTTTTCAATGCCTCCTTACAATGGTTCTAGGCTTCTCGGCAAAGGATAAGTACCCACCATGTATTCACTGGGGTCACACTTACTGGCCTTGGATAAGGAATCTGGTAATGCAGTCCTATTTCAATCCTGGCTGTGCATTCATCTACATACTGCTTAATAAGGTCTGAATCTATGAGCTAGTAAAAGAGAAACACAGGCATCTTTCTAATACTACACAGAATATAGGTGCATGTTTTCTGAAACTTTTTCAGTTCGTCAGCTAATACATTAAATATTAATAATTTGAAAACTCAAAAGCAATTTAATATAATATTTACTGTGGATTAAATTTTTAAAATAAAGTCTACCTCTTCCCTCTACCTTCTAGTTCCTCTCTCAAAGACAACAATTACCAGTAGTTTTTTGTTTGTCCTTCCAGTGGTATTCTCTGAATATATCAGCATATATTTATACACTTAGGGGTTTGTTTGTTTTTTTTTTTTGTACGCAAACGACAGCTCACTTTGTTCTGAACCTTGCTTTTCACGAATAAACTGAAGCTCCTTCTATGTTTACACATATAAAACTGCCCCCTGCCCCATTCTTTTTAACAGCTGCATCAAATTCCAACATAATTCAACCAATCTTCTATTGGACATTTAGGTTATCTCCAGGCTTTGCCATTATAAATAATTCTGTTAATGGATACCTCAAATTTTTTATTTTTGGCTCATATGCCAAATTATCTAAAAGATAATTTCCTAAAGAAAGAACTGTGGGTCAAAGGTTATATGTTCATGCATTTTTAATTCTCATCAAATGAAATTAATTCTCTAGATTCAAATTGCCCTGTAAGACAGTGACTTTCAACCTTTTCCATCTCATGGCACACATAAACTAATTTCTAAAATTCTGAGGCACACTAAATAATATATTTTTTTCCCATCTGACAAAAAAATAGGTGTAAGTTTCATTCATTCACACCAATGGCTGTTGTTATGTTCGCTGTTGTAATTTTTATTTGACAATCTAAGGGAAAAGAAGTCAGTGTCCAACTGAATAGTCAGGTAGTGTATGTTTTACAAATTCTTGTGGCACACCAGTTGAAAATTGCTGTTTTAAGAGATTGACCACTTTATATTCCTACAAGCAAGCTATAAATTATATTCCCAAAACACTGACAGTCTTCTTCATATCCTCCCCATGTTGCCCAAATTTTAAAGTTACCCAACTGTCTCAGCAAGTGCTGTCTAGACACCCCTGAAATATTGGAGAATGATTCATCTCTCATTTTGAACTGTGAACTGCCTTGCTCATTAGTAAGGGGAAGAAATGGCTTTTGAAATTCCAAAGTAGTCAAATCATGGTAATTCTATTTCAAGTAAAAGAATGACAAGTACATTCTGAAAAACAGAAATAGGGAAAGACGGGAGACCCTCTCATCCTGAGGATGCCACGAGTTTGTAAGTGGCCTCAAAGCTGAGCTGGGACACATCAGTCCCACATGATACACACAAGGAAGTCTGGGCCACATGGCTTGGAAAACTCCAAGGTGTTCTATGGCACCTCTTGAAATAGAGGAGTTCCAGGAATTGCAATGCACAGAACTCAGTTGAGTCCCTTGAGGGAGAGGCTCAGCTTTCCAACCTCTGTGCTTCTCTGAAGCTGCTGTTTTGATGTCCACCTTGGGAACATGTCCATGCTCCTTCCCATTTGCCTCTTAGGATTCAGAGCAATTCAAGAGATACCCCTGGAGTATTATCAAGCTCTTACAGACAGTGAGGTTATGAGAAACCACTTTTGTCTGCTTGCATGAAGGATGGGGGAGAAAGAAGCCCCTGACAAAGCTATAGTTAAAGGAGTTAAGGGCTCTTGGGGCTCCATCTGATCAAACCTCGGTTAGAGTTCTCCAAATTCCATCTCTCAGAGGCTGCCTGCATGATTTTTATCTACATCCCACTTATACCAACATTAAACTTTTTATTTAAATGGGCTTTCCTAAACATAGTATTTCTGAAATGACCTGATACTCTATTTTCTTTCTAATACATAGTGAAACAAGCACACATGCTAAAATTAAAAGCCCATATACCTGCCCCAACACAACAAAATCTCACTCATGTACCATCACTGGCTCATATGTGGCCTCTGGCTCACACCCCATTAGGCCAATTCAAGGAGAGGCAAATGAATGATTCATTATTGCCATAACTGAAAACTCAATGGATCTTGAGCAGTCCTCAGATGTGTGAGCCAGCAGGGGTTTACTGGGCATACAGTACTGTGATATCCCCAGTAGCAGGCCAGACATTGTGAGGCCACGGTCCCTGCCTTTATTACCTGGGCAGAACAACTCTGACACATGAAGCTACAGAAAAGGCATAGTGGTATATAATCACCTAGAATATAGGAATTCAAAACAGGGTTCATCCTGAGTTTGGGTGAGGGCAAACTGAGAAGGCATCCTGAAGGTCACTTGAATCAAAGTATTTGTAAATGCTTGTTAATTTATGACAACCGCAAGGCAAGGCCCATTGGATATTCTGGGAGAGTACGAATCACGGTCTGTGCATTTAAGGAAATGACAACCTGGTTGGGGAGGCCATACCAATATAAGTGAAACAAACAAGAAAGAGAGACTATAACCATCTCCTCAGAAGTAGACATGTCAGTGGTATGCAAACTTTTTTAATCACCAACTCCTTTCAATAAATACTTTTGAACCCACAGATCCCATATAGGTATATATATTGATTTATATAAGTTCATTATAAACATATACAAAATAGACACTGTGAAAGGATGCAATAAAAACAGAAACAGCACTTGCAATATTTGATTTCTGTTCCTCCAAGGACAGTTTTAAGATCTCAGGGCTACATATACTCTAGTGTGGCATGCAGGATGGCACTAGAAGCAGAAAGTGGAGGAGCAGGAGGAGGGTGAGAGGATAGCGAAGCTTCACATGCAGGTTGGCTTTATAAAGCAGGGAGCTTCAGGGGTTCCAAGAAGGGAAGGTACTGAAGATTGGGTTTCTTTTGTAGCACTTATTCCAACTGTAATTTTACCTTTCTTTCCCTAACTCTGACACATGTTTAAGGGACCATGTCTTGGTTTTGCTTATTTTATATCTCCAATGTCTAGTCTGGTGTTAGGTACATGGTGGACACTCAAATACCTAATGAATGAAGTAATGAGAGCCAAGCATTGTGGAGTGCTGAGAGGAGCCACAACAAAAATGGACAAACCCGGAAGGGGAGGGGAGGCAGTCTTGTGGAAAGAGGAGTTCTACCTTAACCATTATGCTTGGGGTGGAAGTGGGGTCCTTCAAGTGAGTGGTGAAAGACCAAGGCTGAGTTTTCTGATATGGGAGCTGGAACCATAAGGTGGCTGCCGGCTCCTTGGGCCTCAGAGCACAGGGCTGACCTTCAGAGGACCCCTACAGCTGGCAGCAAGGTATGTAGAGAAGACATGGCCAAAAAGGAGATAGTGACAGCGGTCAGAGAGGGTAAAATAGAGAGTAGATGTTAGGAAGTTCATGAGGGAAAAGGAACAGCATTGAATCCATGAGATCCATGCAGCAGAGGGAAGAAAGGTCAGGAGCTGGAAGCCTCTTTCTGGGCTCTGTGCCAGGCAGTCTTCCTAAAGAGCTACCAGATAATGTTTAAGGGTTTACTTGGATGAGTCAAATCGAGCCTCTTAGAAATGGTTTTTGGCTCCCTAGTGTCTGTCTGGGTGTGCATTTCCATTAAACTATTTCACAGGAGCACTATTTCACTCAATTCTGTGGTCCCAGAGGGCAAACTCACCATGCTAGCCAAAGAGGCTTGAGTTCAAAGCTAAGTTATGAAGGAAAGCCTGTGTCTTAATTCTGTTCTCCTCCCTCAGAATGGGTTTACACTTGGAGGCTTTGAATAGTTTACGAATGGAAAAAAAAAAAAATAACTGTGTACCTCCTGTGGGAGTGGCCTGCAACAGGCACAGCATGTGAGGGACTGCTCTTCCCTTGAAAACTTTCACTGGTCTGAGTCATCTCACCTGGCTCAGTAGTCTCAGGACACTGGGATGCCGAGCCAGTAACTAGCTGGACTGAGACCTGAGACAAGTGCAGAGAGACACCAGGGCTGGTCTGTTTTCTGGTGGCGGGGCAGGCTAACCAGGCTGCGCCTCTGGCCCCTGCCTGCCCATGCTCTGCCACTGTGACCATTCAGTCCTCCAGATTTTAGGACAGAAATGAACAAATACAAACAACTGCTCTCCTTGCAATCTCCAATTGAGGCTACTTACGTTTTTGTTTTTCTGGAACAGCATCCTGGCTTCATTTAATATGTACTGTTTTTCTTTAATGGTGTCCTCCATCTGCCCTGATGCTGCCTGCCATTTCCTTGTAAGCCTGAAAATTTGGTGGTAGAGGCCAAGAACTTCTTGTCATGTTGCTGTTGTCATACTCAGGCCCACCAAAATAGGGAAAATTTGCATAAAAATCCAACTTTAGAGTAGGCAGCTAAGAGATGTACACTTTTTTAAAACAATCAAGTTCTTCAATTAGACTAAAAATAATTGTTCTTTCTCAAGCAGTCTGTTTGGTAGTATTGCTGGATCATTGTGGGAGGAATACCAACTATCTCTCAGCTGGCCTGGGCGTCACTGCACAGTTGAGGGCTGCTCAACCATACCATTGCCAAGACAGACATTTTTGTAAACCAAAACCAAATGGCAAAACCAAAATACACATTTACTATTCATTAAATTGCTAAATGCTGGAGAATCTGAGGAATGATGGTTTCAGAGTGTGTTCTGGTAAAATTACATCACTGATCTGAATGCCTAGGAGAAGACACATTTTGAATAACTGAATTTAATACAGGGGTTGCAAACTTAAGTTCCTCTAAGGCTGTCCTGGCAGGAAACCTTGCTGGGTGAGGACAGTGGCCAACTGTAGAAGACATGCCTCCTTAAAAAGGGATAGTTGCTACTCAGCCCCAGCCAGCTGCTGCCATGTAGAAATGAGGGCCTAGTGATGCCAGATTTCCTGATAGCTTAATAGGGGGCCACCCTGGTTTTTAAAATATGAAATTTCAAGGGATATTATTTCATGTCTTTTGGAAATGTGAGTGCCATGAAGGCTAAACAAATTTTGTCTGCAGACACAGTTCTACCTCTTAGTTTATCATAACCCTGTTGAAAATATTTCTTAAAATTGTTGGTCTATTTTCTTGTCCGCATAAGAACTGTGCAATCAATGTAACTGAAAATCTTTATGTTGAATGAAATCCTGTGGCTCCTCTGGGTTTTTACTCTGAAACATCAACATTTTATATTCAAAGGAATTGTGTAAGACTCAACCTAAGTGCACTCCCTAAAGTTAACTGCATTTTTAAAATTAAATTCCTGTTACATTTATTTTTATTATAAAATATTTCAGATATACAAAATGATAGAGTAATACAATTAACAGCCATATATTCACAATGAAACTTAAAGAATAAATTATAAAGTTGAAAACCCCATTGTACCTCTTCCAAATCAAATTCCCTTTTTTCTCTACCAGAAGGAAACATTATCCTAAATTTATCTTTCTCACACATATCTTTACATTTAACATTATATAGTGTTGCTTAGCAAGTTTAAAAACTATATATATGTATGTATGTATACATACATATATATACAGGTATTATGTCTTTCCACAATTTGATTTTTTTTTGCCCATATTTATAAGATTCATCAGTATTGTTCCAAGTAGCTCTAGTGCATATATTCTCACTACTGCAATTCAGTGCATTGTATGAAATTATCCTGTGCATAATCATCTGGTGATGGACATTAGGCAAAAACTTCAGCCTATTTCTTCACTATTAAATTTAAATTCAGGAAAGAGAAAAGAAAGTTCCACCAATGGAAGACTCTGATTGGTCAGACTTAGGAGAATGAATCCTATCCTGCCTTTAACAAGTAGGAGGCAGAGAAGATGACTGGAAGACAGATTTGGAGTGAGCGCAGGGCCAGGCACCAGGACACCTCATCACGAGTTCTTGGTTCTCCTCAAACAAGCTCATCAGGATCAGGAAGTAGACTGTTTATACCCTTTGGGAACATGACCTCTATCCAACCCAAATGGGAGGGGTAACACATGCAGATAGTATGCTTTAGAGTAGTAATGAGTTTATGAGAATTTGGGCAACTAAGGAATGTAGATGGGAGCTGGAAGGAGGTGTGTTCACCCAGAAATTCTAAATACCTACAAGGAATTCACCTGACAGAGAATCTCTTTCGAATATGACTATCTGTCCTGATCCTGGTGAGTTTTCTTAAGCAATGAAATATGAACCAAAGCTTAATCATTTGATGAAAAGCCAGAAAGCACTACTTCCCCCAATTCAAAAGTTAATAGGACTAAAGTTATATTTAACACCAATTCTGATGTCCACGATGCTTCAGAGAAAATGCTTAAAAGAATTCATAAAAACCAGGAGAGAACATCATGCTTTGTGGCTATTTGTTAATAAAAACCCAGATGAGATGATGACATTTTTCCTGTTAAGGAAAGAGGTTTTTGCATTTCTGGCTTGCCCTAAAGTTCCATGGTTTCATATGAAAACCTGTGAGTCAGTTCCTGTGAGAGGCAGGGAGTCTATAACTAACTTCTAGTAATGACTGCCCCACTTCCCTGTTATTACCAAAGGAATGGCCCTGACTCTATTATGACCCAGGAAGAAAGGGAAGTTCTGACATATTAAAACAGCAGCAATCCTCTGCTAAGTCTGACATTAATTGGTTTCCTGCTACTCTTAAGAACCTTAGCTTCAATCTGTAACTGATAATATACCAGAATCTGACACAGGAGCCCTGTAATTAACGTACTCAAGAAAACAAGCAGAACTAACAATTGGTACTTAATAGGCCTATTTTCAAAAACACTTTAATAAATATTTAAGTATTTAGAAAACTAATCCTGAAAGGGAGTTAAGTAATGTCTCCCTCTCCAAATTCAGCTGACCCAGAAAATCTAAATCTGTTACTGGACTAAAGGAATCCATTCGCCTGCATGCACCAAAGCCCAATGAAACGGGAACAGAGATTTGCAGCAAAAGTGGAGGTTTTTTAGTCGAGGAAATGCTGCCAACCCCAAAGTCACAGGTAAGCTAGTGCTCAAAGACCTGGCTCCCGGATGGCTTCCAGGGAATGGGTTATACAGGGGGAAATCATTATACATGGTGGCTAAGGGGGATGGAGTAATGGGCTCTATTGATTGGTTGGACTGAGGTAGTAGTTGGTCATTGTGACAGGTCCTGATGTCAGCCAACGCAGTGTTCTGCCTGGTTTTGTGAGGATGTGGTCTGTAGGGTCATTCTGTGTTCATTGGCCTGGGGCTGAAACACAACTGAAATCAAGGTGTTATCATTAGCTTGACCAAAACTGTTTCTGTGGTTAATAGGTTTGAGGCTTTGTTGTTAAGACAGTTTACTACTGAAAAAATCCAATGTCCTAAGGGCTTAATGATTAAGGAAAGGAGTGGATGGACAGAAAGAAGAGAGACTTCTGTTAAAGAAATGGAGTTTCTGCATGGTTACAAATTTTGTAGATTTCCAGAGAGAATGGCCTAAAGTAGTTTTCCCATGCATGGTATACTATCTATAAGCCTGGCCTTCTACTTCCTTCTAATTCTTGTGCAAAAAGGCAAGGAAAAAATGTTTCTTTTTGTTATTAGAATCTTTCAGTTCTTTGAGGAAATCCTGTTCTTCCTTACTTTTTAGGGGTACGTGCCCATCTATTTCCCCTTTCTAAAAGGGTCTCCCCTGACCCCCTTCCATGTACCTAACCAGCCCCTAGTTATCCTTGAGTTCTCAGTGAAAATATGAATGTCTCAAATGATCCTCTCCCCACTGCCCGAGCCTCACTATATGCACCAGATCGGTTCTCTCTGTTGAACCATCCCTTGGCCCCTTGTATTTCTTCTTTGTAGCACTCATCACTCAAGAAATGGTTTGTTAATGTCTATCTTCGCCAGTAGACTCTAACCTTTATGGGGCAGCAATAACATCCATTTTATTTACTGCTGAATTCTCAGCACCTAGCAAGGTACAAAATCAGTAGTCAATAAATGTTCGCTGAATAAATGAAAATATTTCAGGCTACAGAAAGCTTATGGTTGTGGAAACAAAATCAGTCATATATAGCCCTGACTGGGTGGATCATTTGGTTGGAGAATCACCTGTGCACCAAAGGGTTGCAGGTTTGATCCCTGGTTGGGGCACATATAGGAGGCAACCAATTGATGTTTCTCTGTCTCTCTCAAATCAAGTAACTGTATCTTCAGATGAGGATTAAAAAAAAATCAGCTATATATGAAAGAATTTAAAAAGCTCTTTCTATTTGGTTTATATTTGCCTCTATTCCTAGGAATCTTCCTTCTTATGGATTTAATGGCTTGAAACCAACATTTATTCCTCAAATTATCAGTGACCTCTCATTGATACAGAACTGGGGCAGCCCTTTTCATTCTCCACTAGTTTCAGGGGTTGATTTGATGCAATGGGGTCTGCTAGGATTTTCCCATAGGTGACCCCAGAGATAGGAAGTTGCTTAGAGGACCCCTGTTAAACTGCAGTCTTAAGTGCCTGAGAAGTCTTACAGAACTTTTACAGTAAAAATTTTTATACCTCTCATTCTGAGACTGACATTTCTTTAAACTCTGCTTCCTTTCACCTCCTTAACCCCAAAATCCCAGAATGAGGGAAGATGAGAGAGAGACATAAAGCATGAATGGAAGAAATTGTAACAGGAAAGAAGCCTCTTTTCTTAAAATCGTATCCCATATATAAATAGTCCTAAGCTAAAATTTGTTACCAAGCACCTGCCCTGTGCAACCTGTGCCAGTAAAAACAGGATGACAAGGCTTGCTGCTAGTGCACCTTGGCCTCTGGCCACAGTTGGGAAAAGTTTCCTCTATAGCGGGTGTCCCAAAAATTGGTTGGTGAGGTGATTATTGATGTACAATACAAATATTTATCTTACTGTGATTCTTTTAGTAGCCCAACAAAACCATGATTTAAAGTAACTGATTTTGTAGTGATACAGCTTCCTTTAAATAAATGTATTACAACATATTTTAGGTTAGTTTAATATATAGGTAAATTAATAGTAAAAACTGTGATCGCGGAGTCTGAAAAAGAGAAATTTGGGAGCTGCTGCTTTAAGGGACCTGCTGTGTCCTGTCTTGTGTTTGTCTTGGGCTGAGCCACCCACTTAGAATGACTATTGTCAGCTAACCACCCCACCCATCTAGTATAAACCTATTCACAGTACTAAAGTTTTTCTGGAGCACCCTTTCACAGCCAGCTGCTGCTCTTTTGCAATTTCAATGGGTCCTTTTTTTCCTTCTGAATTTCTGGAGAGCAGGGACTGTTTTGCTGACTGGAACAACAACAATAATAATAATAACT